CTATATTCATATTGTGTTTATGTGTTATCAATAATTTATGATATAGCTTAATTAGCTGATATAGTTCACTATGACAGTCGCCATACTTGGATATAGGGATCGGCGCCACTGAGCCATACAATTTGCACAATAGTTAATTTATGTTTATTTATGTTTATACAGTCAGATAAATTTGAGCTAGGTCGGAGTTTAAGGGCTCATTTGAGACAAACCTGCAATGAGCGCGCCAGTTGTATTATTAGTAATAATTATATTAGGTAAATGTATATTTTGATAATAACACCTAACCTATGAAATTATTTGAGGGAATGTAAAAAAAAAACTGAAATAATTTTTATTTGGTATGGATGTAATTCTAAAATAATGTTTTGGTGATATATCATACTAACAAAATAATTGTAAAATGTGTACCTACGGTTTGTTGCAAAGTTTACACGTGACTGATTTCTGTACGAGTATATAATAGAATATTAGAATTCGTTTTGAAAACCGGCGTACATTTATTATATTATATTAATTTATACCAACCTATTTGTGAAGATTTTTATCGTTATTACATACGTATTACGTGTTGAATGTTTGAGTCATAATAATATTACATATTCATTATTATATTATTATATTTTTATATATGTAATTTAATATAATATATTAAATCATATTTTGAAGAACTGCTGGAGTTAGGTTGAAAACCGACGAGTGCTTCTATGCATCAACCCATGTCCTTCTATATGGAATACAGTGAAACTTCTCTATAACGGAATCGCATGGAAAACAACATTTTTCCGTTATAAAAAGTTTTCCGTCATAGAAAGGTAGAAATTGCATACATTATTTGTACTGGGACTATTGACAATTTCTGTTATAAGGAGGATTCCGTTTAATAGAGGGTCCGTTATAGAGAGGTTTTTCTGTATAAAGTACCATGTTGAATTTTGATTTTAGAAAAGAATAAATATTTATTCATATTATAGTATTTATAGATGTGTTAGGCAAAAAGTGTAATATCATACAATATTATTTACTTTTTTCCAAGCCTTAAAATATAAATAGTAGGTACTGATATTCACCGAAGCTGTATTCATTTGTCGTATAATTTGAAAAATCAAAATTCAAACCTTAACCATTTTTACATTTTTCGGTATACAAAAACCTAAATAACCTATCGTTTCCAAAATGTATTCATTTATTGAGTGAGGTAGAGTAATTATTATTAAACAGTTAAAAAAATAAGATACATGTCATATTCGCATATCATTATGATGCGGTCACGGAGGACGAAAAAACTCTGTTCCATTAGCGTCAGACAACATTTTATTCATATGTACATTTTGTTTAAACGTCGTTTAAAAAAAAAAATATTTACATATTATACGCGCATATATGTAAAATATGTAAGTACAACAGTAATATTATTTTCTGACGTCCATGAAATAATATATTCTAGTTKTTACTCTATATAATATTAAACACGTGTAAATTGGTAAAATACGTACTATAAAATATACGCGTTGTCATTGTCAATGAGAAGAATGTTTATTTTCACGAAGAAAGTACACGCATCGTTGTTGTGTTACTAATAAAACGTAAACCTACAATGCATATATTATATTTTTTACGAGAGATGTACCAAACAATATAAAAAAAATGATGACAATATTGTAAAAAATCAGTTTGAGTTTATTTCCTGTGTATTATTAAACGCGTGTGGCGTATACAAACCTACATAAAAGGTACATGCAGTATTAATTTACATACATACACTAATATACTATACCAATAAATAATACCTGCAGAGCATAGTGATTTTCATATTCTCATCGAATTCCCAGAAGTTTTAAATAACTAATAGTCTATACACATTACAGGTACTTATATAGTTATATCGTTATTTATATGTCTTATAATACCTATGTATATAACCTACCCGTTGACGTAGTATGCATGGGGCATGAGGGTTATAGCCTCCACRGAAATTTGTGTAGCTTCCTCACGTAGTCACATATGTACTTTCATTTAAAACATTTTATACAAAATTATAATATTATATTATAATATACTATATATTTTCCAGAAATTCATCTAGTGTTCTAATATTAGCAGTGTAATGGCCAATGGGTATTGAAAATGACTGTATTAACTTACATTTACTTATTTATTTTTATCACTAACATATTTATTTGTGTAGAAGCAATTTTATTTGTTTTATCTTTTATGTATTGTATAATACAATTTTAGGTTGAGAAGAACTCAAATTATAAATTGCTTGATTTTTAAAAGTTCTCTTTCACTTTAATTCAGAACTAATCAAGTATTGTTTCTTTGAATATTACTACAGTGAATTCACCTGTTATCAAACTGTAGGTTCAGACTATTTACTGTAACAATATTTTGATTTTTAAGCATTTTTGAACTGTTTTACATATGAAGATTGTACACATTAATTATTAATTGAGATGTGTATATTTTAAATATTTAATAATAATATTTATAATATGTATGTAACACTGTATATAACAATAAGGCAATAACAGATTAATAACATAGTTTAGGATATTAAAAAGAACATAGTCACCYTTTWTGTGATCCACATACTAATAAAAACAAATAGATTAACTTTAAACTGAGTTAATAGTTGAGTGCGCTGACATCCTCATCATGAACAAAAAACAGATACCTATGACCTATCTGATATTTGTGTATAGCTGCATAATAAGATCTGATTGTGTTTGTACAGTTCGTTGTAAAGAATCATGCTCAAATCGTTTGATGGTCGGGCTATTGCATTCTCGGGCTATATACCACCAGCAGAATCCTCGTCTGCTTAATGTAKGTAGTAGGTACATCGGCAGTGACACACAAGACGGATTTCAATTCGAAATAAAATAATCGCGTGCTAATAATAACGACGACGATGCGTAATCGACGACTGTGAAGGCGGTCTATTTATTCTGCGTGATGCTACGTGTCTATTATATTATCCACAGACACTTTCTTTTGAGCGACAAACTATATAATGTACCTATCACACAAAACGAACAACCACACAATCTATGTACAACTGCATTATAATATGCCTACACGTAGGTACGATTATACTCGGAATTATCCTGGGTATATACGTACATTTAGCCGTGAAATTATTCGCTGGCAAAACGATTAGCTTTACATACAACACTCGTATATGCATGTACCTACACACACACACACATACATATATTATATACGTAGGTACATGTGCGCTGTTAGTTTCGTTCAGACAGCGCGGAGGATTCGGAACGATTTCGACGTAGGTAAACGCGATGTATAATGAACGTTTGCAGGACATCGTTTAAAAATGCACGCGAAAATAATCGTGGCGGCAAATTAGTCATGTTTTCACTGAAACCGTGTACCACGTATCTGCACAGATAATACACGCGACGGATACAATAAACAAAAACGAAAATATTCTCTATATTGAGAACGGAAAAAAATCAAGAGCATCGCGTATTATCGCAGGTAGTCGTCATCCGCAGCGATTTATCTCGTGCGTGAGCGCGGCGATGCGATGGTCAGGCGACGATGACGGTTACGCCGCCGGCCGTTCAAGGTTACGTTATTATRGGCCGTTTATTATAATAATAACGACACATCTGGGTAATATTATTATAATTATGCACACGTATACATGTCGTCGGGTTTTTTTTCCCAAAATTATTTTTATTATTATTATTGTTATTATTACTATTATCGAGATCTTAGCGGCCATCAGCTGACGGACCGAAAAAAAACAACAGACCGCAATTTTCCGCGCCCGAATGTAGACTAAACGGTGGAAAATGAGAGTAGCCACACGCACGCACACATGCACATGTAAATAAATACGACATTGTGTTGCACACGCATCATCCGTTTATGATAAGCGTGTGTGTCGGACACGATTTCACTACTGTGCACCATATTATACGCGTCGAGTTTCATGTACCACGAGCACACGGGGACGTTGACAAACTATATGAACGTTCACGGATGTGTATGTTACCTACAACGCGTAAAATCGCAAGAAATCAACTCGAGTCACGTCTGTATTGAGTGTATTGGTTATCATACCAAACAAATTTCATGGACAAAAATCCAAGGAAAAAAGGCACAGTAAAAATTTACCCGGGGATAAAATATAACGATTACGGTCCATCGAAAATTTGTAATATAATAAATTCAATTTGCTAGGAAAAACTTATAATAGTGTTTTAATGTTTGGTTAGTTGTTATACTTTTAGTTCAACGCAGTTTAATAAATTCTGTTTCTAATAATGAGATAAATAATAAATAATAAATTTTATTTTTTTTAAATTATTTTATTATGTACGCACCCATCAATTAAGTAAACTATACTTTGCTCAAACCAGTCGATATGTCAACATTGTTATCAATTCATTATACTTATAGTTAGTCGGATCAGTAATAAAATGCAATTTATCTACTGTATCCGTATTATTGGTGACAATGACAAAGTAATACTGTTATATATATATATAATATTATATATATTGTCATTGTTTCATCGTCTTGTGGTCACAATATGATTTCTGTAGACGTTATAATTTATATATTTTTTATTATTCTTACGTTTATAATAAGTAGTATTATTTATTTTATTGTATTACTAACTACTACTATTCACTCATTATATGGCCATTTAAGTCTAATTATTAATAAAATATAATTAATATAATAAGGATGTTTCTATGCTTTTATTCTATCTATGCTTCTATGCGGTGTTAAAATAAATTAAAAACAAATTGTTACGACCGATTATAAATTAACACTTACCTATCAATTGGTATACACGGCATTGCTACTAAGTACTATTATAGATAGTTGATACGTTTTTAACAGCAACTTTAGTTAATACTTCCAGAACATAACACAGGTAAAGGACTACAGGTTATAAATTATAATATATTATGAATACATGGTTTTGTTAAATTTGCTCAATTTTCTCATCCGATGCCAACGGCGCTGTGGCTTAGTTCGTTAAAGCGCCTGTCTAGTAAACAGGAGATCGGGARTTCGAATCTCCCCAGAGCCTAATCGAAACCACATCAGTTCGATACTTTTTTGCATTTTTAAAAATTCTGTTTTCTTGTTATTATTCGTGTTTTGTTTTTAAATTTTAAAATAAATAAATAAATTTATTAAAAAAACACGTGCCAAATGATTATCACACATTCAATAACCGATAATATAATAGTAAAAACAGGCAAGATCCGAATCTCAGCAGAAGAGAAAAAATTATAAATTATAATCAATCGTCTCCGAATAAGGCCACACAAGGCCACGGATAATAGATATTATATCTATTATCCGTGACACAAGGCTGATTCACAAGTTTCTTATCGCCAATTAGAAGCCYACTCAATGCACAGTCTGTGGGGTTACCCTAACTGTAGAACATATATTAACAGAGTGCTACCAATATTCCGACGAACCCAAAAAAATTAACATTCCAATTATCATGAATGAAGCATTAGGACCAGGCATTGAAAACCTCGCAAATATGTTAGATTTCCTAAGAAAAATCGACCTATACAATACAATTTAAACCTTCTTCTAACAATAACCATAATATTAATGTTAGTGGTAATCACAAAAAATTAACACCATATTAATTGTATAATTTTAGTTCTAGAAATCACTCATTATGTATTAAACAAAAAACTAATAACCTTTGCTGTTGATGTTTTTAAGTTCAATAAAAAAAAAAATATTGTTGTAATAATAGGTATATTATTATTCAAAAAATAATTTACCTATGTTTTAAATTATAATACCCACTTTAATAGTACGCCCATCATACAATATCTGCATTAGATTTTAATATTATTTTTGTAATAAAATATTGTATTAAGTTAAATTGACTCGAAAAGCATGTCTTACAACGTTGTTTATTTAGGTACTTATTAGATTAATGTTAAAAATCTTAAAATACGTAGCATTTTATTACAAAAATAAAATTTATATCTACTATAATATAGGTGCATTAATTTTGAGTTTAGGTATTTGCTTGTTATGTCGTCATTGAGTATAATATTATGCCATTGTAATGGACGTGTTAAAATTTGAATCCAATGATAAAATRTTGAATACTAATTMTCAGCTTCTATTTCTTATTTTCCTAATATAGGAAAACTATTACTATTAGGTATCCATTAGAGGGGAGGTTTCACTGTATACATTTTTATTTATTCTATATTTTGTATAGGAATAAGTACTTACCACTGCACGAATGGAATAACGTCCTCTGGCTAATACAATGTATATATATTTATATATGCATCACCTGCAATATGTATATTAATATATATTGTTGTATTGCCGTAATAACGGTAATGTCCAGCGGCTAACGTCAAAAAAAAAATTCCAAACGCATTTTTTGCCACCGAAAAAAAATGGCCAAACGATCGGTTTGCACTTTTACGTCGGTTAATCGTCCGAAACGCACTGTCACTGGGTGTAAATATTATAACGGCCGGTCCGACGTCATCCGAGTGATTATTTTTTAGTGAACAAAAACTATGTCACTAGAGTTATAATAATGTTTATTTATTTTTCGGACAATCGTTGACGCATAAAAAAATGATAAACAAAAAAACTAAACCATTAATCGATCTTCCACGCGTATCCGTATACGTTGTCGTGATTTACTATGCCGGTGCCTATAATATTATTCATTGTATAAGTATCATTTCTTTCGATTTATTTTTAGTAWACATATTTTACACCGACACCGTACGAATCCGCCGTTATACTAAACCCCGTTTAACGATTGATTGAAACGTGWTTTTTTACACTAACCCTATTTGCGTAGCGCCACCGAAAAATAAAAACTCTTAATCCGTGGTAAACCACACCAGTATTGGTGTTTTATTAAAATATAATAATATATCGGCTTGCACACCGAATGATATGCAGTATATTACACATTTTTTTCAACTGTTCAATTAAATGAAAAACATCAGTGCCATACTCAGGATTTGTTTTCGGTGGGGGAAGAAGTTAAAAATCTCAGAAAATACAGCACGATATATATTATTTGTTTGTGATAAAACAATTAATAATAATTAAAAAAGATAAATACATAAATAAACTCGGAAGTATTGAAAAATATTAGTTTTTTTGTTTTGCGAGTAATAAATATTTTTTAAATTAAAAAAATGTAAGAAATAATTTTTATAACCGATTAAATAGTTCATGAATCATACCGATATAAGAATATAAATCGAAATTATATCACACTATCCGTGTTTAAGTTGTATATATTATGTTGGATTAGGTTGCGGAAATCCCATCCACCGTTTCAGCATTACCTACTTACTTGTTATTTCAATGTATCACTGTATCAGTAACACTAAAACAAGCATTATATTAGTAATATAATTACTCATGAGCCAAACCGATAATTTATTATTAAAATATAATGAGATCGAATATTCGAATACATCATTACCATATGGAGTAGAAAATGCATTATACATACCTATTCTAAGCTTCTAACACTTTCTAACATACACATTAATATACTATTTTTTAAGTTTTAATTTTTTTTTTAGCTTTTACGAGCTATTTATAGGCTCTTTGCTTCTAAAACCAGTTCTCCCTATACATCTGAACATCTCTTGCATAGGCTAAATCTAAGTTTCCATTCCAGTCCGGCTTCAACTCCTCTATATCACTTCTAACTGCATCTAGCCATCTTTGCCTTGGGCGTCTCCTAGGTCTTTTCATATCTATTTGATTCACCATAACCATCTTTATGAGGGACCCATCAGCTGTCCACGCATGCCCAGCCCAAACAAGTCTTGAACTCCTTACGAACTGTACTATGTCCTCTTTTGAATATAGATTCTTCAGATCCTCATTTGACCCCCTTATCCATTTTTGCTCAATGTCATCGAAAACAGGTCCATACATTTTTCTCTCAAAGACGAGGAGCTTTTTGTAGCTTTTTGTAGCTTTATATACTATTTAGTAATAAGTAATGCAAAAGTATATTAAACACATAATAATACATTTAATGTTACAGTAATGTTTTGTATCAACTAACAAACTAAGAAAAACCGATCAATATAATACAATAAATTTAAACCTTCTGTTAACGATAGCCATAATATTAATGTTAGTGGTAAATAGTAATCACACAAAATTAACACTATATAAACTGAATAAATTTAGTTCTAGATATCACTCATTATGTATTAAACAAAAAACTAATAACCTTTGCTATTGATGATTTTATTTCAATAAAAAAAAAAATGGTATCATGATATAATATTATACACATAATATAAGGCATATAATAAAACAGGCACATAATAATACAGTAAACACTCATACTCACACAAATATACAKAAGTAGACAACGCGTTTATATAAATTGCAATTATTATTATTCACATTGTAATATAATATAGGTAAGGACGTCGACTTATGAGTACAATAATAATAATATAATAAATTATAGAATTATTAAATGATGAATGTCGTTTTTATTTTTCACATTAGATATTCGAACATTCACGAAATATAATAATAATAATAATATAATATCCATGATACTGATTAGGATGTATTAATTGTCACACATACTGCAGAGTGCAGAGAATGGTCGAGATATCAAATTTTAACCCAATGGCGCGCGCCATACTAGTAATTAATGTCTGAATTTACTGATATGTATCATAATATCGACAATGAAGAGTACATAATATAAAATTATATTATACATTTATACTGTTATGGGAATGGCACTTAATTATTGTCGGTAGTTGCTATACTTAATTCTTTATTTGCGCGTTGCGAATGCACTTTTATTTAGGTACACACAGTTGCTTATATATTATACACACAATATATTATATGTGCCATTTTAGATTTCTTGTTTGTCTATAATTAGATTCAGGTGTTTGAATTCGCCATGTAAATCACTATTTTGATACGATTCTTTTTAATACATATTATATACCTATTACCTATATACAATTATATACAATCTATTTTCTATGACGATAAATACATAATTATATTTTATCTATACAGGTATCAGGATACGAGATAATTGCTATAAAGAAATGCTTCGTAGTTTACCAACGTACAAAATGATATTGGATATATCTGCCTTAGCTCAGAATTGTTTTTTGTGTGATTCATTAAGATGTAATCCTCAACTTAAAGATAATCAGCTGTCTCATTAGGGTCTCCCTTCTAAAATTCAAACTATATAAAATCAATTATACTCCTGCAAAGACTAAAAAAATAAAAAATAACTATTATAAAGATTATGATTTGGTGAAAACGCTTTATCACATTATATTTAGGTGTASATAAAAATATTTCCTGGAAGATTATGTAAAAAACTACAAATGTATAGACTTATAATGTAATGTATATTTGAATAGTTATCTATCGTAAATAATTCGAATATCAGTATTCGATGCTACAATATCTAATTTTTTTTATCCGTTTTTCCATTGCAAGCTTTTTATACTATTTATTATTAATAACTAATTCATATATACACAACTAAAGATATTATAATGTACCTATGTCAATGATTAATCGACCTAAATACGAAAATAGTTCTTATCTTGCAAGTACCTGTTCGTAAATTCGTAATAGACAAHATAATAGCTTAATAATATAATATCGTCGTATTTTATTATATATAGATTCGCAAATATTTCGTATAGAACATAGTTCACATGATGATCGTATTGTTCTCATGTGAATCATAATTTATGAAATAATAATAACTTAATTGACTACAAGAATCGAATGATAATAATTTTATTTTTTAAAACACATTATATTTCTGAATAGTTTAAGTTCATTTATTATATTCACGTGTACAGTGCCTACAGTACAAGTGATTTGCTGTTTGCCAAATGATGCTGGATTAAAATAATAGTAATTTCGTACATTAATTTGACATGTTGGAATATTGTATTTTTGTTAGGTAGGTACAACGAATAATTTTTAAAAGTGAATAAATTATAATGCAGATATTTAAAAAACGTATTATAATGCGATATA